CGGCACCGCAGGCCCGGCCCGGCACAGGCATGGCCCCAGCACGGACACAGGCACGGCCCTGGCCCAGGGAGAGCCACCAAGGAACCACAGCTCAGGGGGACACGCTGCATGGCGGGGTTTGCGTGGGGGGACACCGGACAGAGACGGGTGGGGACGGCGGACAGGGAGGCATTGGATGGGGAGATGCTGGACGAGGGCATTGGATGGGGATGTTGGATGGAGACGTTGGGTGGGAACGTTGGATGGGAGGATGTTGGACGGGGACGCTGGATAGAGATGGATGGGGATGCTGAACGGGGAAATGTTGGACAGGGATGTTGGCTGGGACTTTGGACAGGGACGCTGTATGGGGATGCTAAGCGGAGACTGGAGAGGGAGACGATGAACAGGGATCGGAGAGGGAGGTGTTGCAAGGAGACAAGTAGAGATGCTGGATGGGGAGACACTGGAGGGACTGTTGTTGGATGGATACATTGGACTGGGAAGTTGGACAGGGAGAAGTACAGGTACGTTGGACGGAAAGATGTCTTAATTAATATATTGGATGGTGACATTGGCTGGGGAGGTGCTGGAGACGCCGGCAGAGATGATGGGGATGTTGGATAGGGAGATGATGGCGGGGAGGGGATGCTGAAAGGGGAAGAGGTCAGATGGAGACACTGGATGGGGAACTTAGATGGGGAGATGTCAGAGGGGAACGCTGGATAGGAAGGTGAATGGGGATGTTGGATGGGGAGGCATCTTCTTCTTTACCACCTTTCACAGCCTATTTCACCTTTTCAGCAGAAAATAACCCAAGAAATTTACCTTCTCTTCCCGCTTTAGCAACAGGTTGCGTAACATCCAAACGGGTTAAATTCAGTGGATCTTGGGGCATCTTTGCAGCCCTCCCACAACCCTAAACGCAGCTATTCACAGCATGAACTCACTACAATGAAGAACACACTATTTTCTATCCCCAAAAATACACCACCTCAACCCTTGGCTTGGGGGCAAATTGGCAAAGATCAGATTGCCAAACCAAACACTTAATCTTGCCCATTTCGGTGTGATTTCACCCTAAAATGTGGACACCCACTGCGCTGGTGCTGCATCACCGCAAAAATACCATTTTGGGGTAGTTTGCAGTGCTCTGATGGTCACTGAGCCTCGGGACTAATAGCTGTCAAGCAACACCAGGGGGTCACGTGGGGACAGGTGGGTTTTGCGAAGCCAAGGAGGGGACACAGCCGTACCTGGGGGTCGGTGCCGTCGGGGGTCTCAGCCCTGGGGAGCAGCCAGGGCTGGGGGGAGCCCCGGGGGGCGAAGCCATCGGTGAGAGCATCCCAGACCCTGCAGGGAGGTGGGTGGTGAGCGGCAATCCCAATATGTTGCCTCCCAGAAAGTCATCCCAAAACAGCGTACCAAAATGACACAAAACACTGCAAAACGCAGCCCCAGAAACACCCTGAAATACCCCCCCCCCAATCCCCAAACTCCGAGATGCCTGAAACATCCCACAACACCCCGAATGATATCCTAGAAGACCTCAAAGCTTCTCAAAATATCATGATGAAATACTGCTCTGAAATACCCCGAAGTACCCCAAAATGCTGCCCCAGCATTTGAGATGCCCCCAAATGTCATTTTGAAACGCTGCCATCAAACGATACCCCCAAAAAGGCCTCTGCAATGTCCTCAAATGTCTCCGGATGCCCCAAAAGGCCACCCTGAAATGCCCCAGAATGCCACCCCAAAACATCACCGTGATGCCCTCAAATGCCTCCAAATATTCTGAAATGTCCCCAAAGCCCCAGCAACACCCCAAAAGGCCACCCTAAAATACTACCCCCCAGTGCCAAGACCCTCTGAGAAGCCCCCAAACACCTCAAAATGCTGCCCTGGAACACCCCACAATGCCCCTAAAGGTCCCAACACTCCAAAATGCACTGAAATACCCCAAAATGCCACCCTGAAACACCTCAAAATGCCCCCCAAAGCCGCAAAGCTTCAAAATGCCACCCTGAAATGCTCCACACCACCACCCCCAAAAACACCCTGAAATGACCCAAAACATCCCAAAATGCCACCTTTGAACACCCAGAAATAGCCCACAATGACATCCTGAAGCACTGCCCAAAATGCCCCAAAACACTGCCCCAGAACACCCTGAAACGTCTCAAAATGCTGCCCCAAAATACCATCCCCCAAAGCTCTCACGTCCTGCATAATACTGCCCCAACACCCCAAAATGCCACTAAGACCCCAAAATACTGTCCTGAAGCATTGCCCAGAAGCAACCTAAGATGCCTCAAAAAGCTGCCCTGATGCCCCAAAGAAACACCCCAAAGAAACACCCCAAGACATCGCCCCGACGCTCCAAATATCCCCTGAGCGCCCGACATCCCAAAACGCTTCTGCAATGCCCAAAATGCCTCAAAACTCCCCAAAATGCTGCCCTGGAATATGCTGAAATGCCCCAAAATGCAATCACAGCACCCCAAAATGTTGCCCTAAAACACCCCAAATTGTCACCTTTGAAACTGCCCTGAAACACCCCCAAAACTACCCTGAAACACCCCAAAATACGGCCCTGGAACACCCAAAAACGCTGCTCTGAAATATCCCCAAAAACCAGTTGTGACGCCCCAAAATCCCCAAAGGCTCCCAAATACAGCCCTGAAACACCTGGAAACAACCCCAAAACTGCCCCAAACACCCCAAATCTGCCCCCCCCCCC